CCCCCGCCCCCCCCCCCCCCCGCCCGCCCGCCATGGCGGCGGCCGCGCCGGGCCGGGCCGGGCCGCGCCGCTCCCACACGTGCCGGCAGCTCCCGCCGGTCGCCCCCGGAAGCGCAGCCAAGCCCTTCCGCCCCAGCGCGCCGGAAGAGCGGCGCCCGGGAGGCCCCGGGGCGGGCTCGGCGCACTGCCTGCCGGGAGCTGTAGTCCCGTCTGCGCCAGCCCGGGGCGCAGCGGAGGGTGCTGGGGGCCGCAGCCCCCGCCCCAGAGAGGGCCCTGGCTCCCGACAGACCCTCCCCGGGCCTTCTGCCGGCTGCTGGAGCGCCACCGCCCGTTAATGGCTCTCGGCTCCTGTCAGGGGCCGCCTGCGGCCGTGACCTACGGGCAGGCGCTTCCGATGGTGCGGATGACACCGCCAGCGACCCCCCGGCGGGGGCCGCCCCGAACGAGCGGTGCTGAGGCGGGAAGCGTGTGGGAAGGGAGTCACTGCTGTAGGGCAGCGCCTCCAAGTTTTGGTCGCAGGACCAAAACTGAAGTAGTGTATCGCAGGACCAAAATGCCAAGTAGCGTATCGCAGCGCCGCGGGTCTTGCGGGCGGGTCTCCCCGCAGGGAAGGGAGGGGAGGAACAGCTTTGGGGAAGCAGAATCACCGGGCAGGTGTCTCACCAGGCGTGATGATAAGCGAGGTCATCGGGCGATACTGCGTGCACCCAGAGGTCGGCTGGGTCAAAGATACCTCCGTGCTATTTTTAAACAAATGGGCTACGGAAGAATCCTTTTATAGCTACACAGCGATTTGGCTTGTACGGCCCTGACGTTTCGAGCTGATCCCTGGTGCCCTAAACCCAAGCTCATGGTAGCACTTAACTGCAGCCAAGGAAAGCGGTGGGAGTTTTTGTACTAGATACGATTCTCCACTAAGTTATATCACGTCTCTGCCTTTACATTATATTCGGAGTGACAGAAACTATTCCGGGTATATTGCCACAGCAGTATTGTTGGAATGAAAATAGAGTGCCAGCCTCGTAAAATGAAGACAGATAGCTGATTCTCAAATTCTAATGCCTAGCATATCACAAGTCGTACTTTGTAAGTCTAACTGTGATAAGATATATTTTTTTTTTCCTTTTCTTTTCAAGTCAGCAGTTCTGAGCATGATTTGTATACTATGGAGCAGCAGAGTCCCTACGCATTTAAGCCCAGGCCGGACGGCACAGGCAGTTTTCCCGTTTACCACAAGGTGGCATTGCATTGGATAATATTTTGTTCCCTGTCTCGGACAGCTCATACTTTCACCTGGAATTACAGATAAAATTAACTTTAAAGACAGTTCTTTGAAAAGATACACATGCACTATTTGGCGTTAGACTTAGGCATACATTTATACTTTTGAACTGCAAGGTCCATTGTTTCAGCAGCCTGGTCAATACCTTTACACTAATCCCTGTACCCTCCTGTTTTATCCTTACGCAGCTAACCCTTTGAGTTGTTTTGGTCTATATTTGTACAAAGCCCAGGAGCCTTCAGGTAAATGTCTGGGACTGAGAGGACATAACTTGTAATACCTCTTGCACTTCCAAAGTTGCTTTAAGCATTAATGATGTGTATCACTGGAATAGCAGAAGGAGTGTGTGCCAGGAACAGGTCTTCTTGTTTTACCTGATAGTGTGAACCTGCTAAGGAAGGGAAAAAAAGAATCTCAGAAGCTAAAAATTACTTTCTGGCAACTGTTGTGTAGAACTGAATTCCAGCCTTTGTATGTATTCCAGAAATTGTTGTTTACTGTATGAGTGGTCCCAGTGCGGTAAAAGGGACTGTTCTTTTACTCAATTGTTTCCATGTTACTTTGTGATAGTAGTTTAATAGGGGCACACTTATGATTATGGATTGGTAACAGGAAATTCTGTACTTGGTCTCAGATGGAGTTCAAAAGTGAATTTTTTAATGGCCTTTTTCCTCCTTTTACTGATCTTTGTTGTGTGTTTCATTGCTGCAGGCAATGAATTGATGCTGTGTATTTAGTCTCTACACATGATTCAACAGTAATGATTATAATCAGCAGAGGAAATCTGTAAATGCTTTCTCATTGGTATTTGGTTTTTTTTTCTGTTTATGAAAATCCCACTTTCAGCAAATTAGCTAAGTCCTTGAAACTTGTCAGAAGTAGATGTTACAATACGTTCTTAAAGGTATTTCAGAAAACACTTACAAAGAAATAAGCTAAATACCTGTTTAGAGAATAATTCTGAAAGAGCTTCTTGCATCTTTTCAAGGATTCAGGCTTCTAAAGAACATGGGAGAAACCCCGACCAAGGTGAAGTCTTGGATGGTTTTGCTGTAGTCCTTGGCAGAGTCAGGCTGTACTTATTACAGGCAGAAATTTCGTAGTCTTTGTTTAGACCTTTTCCTGTTGTGTCGAAGAAAGAGCTATCTGCTTAGTCTACTGGCAGTGCCAAACTTTTTGTCCTGTAAGCACAGGACATAACTGATGAAGGAGCCTCATTCAACTGTGCTTCAAGTGTCCCCAGCACCATGTTGCCTGTTAGGGAAGCCTGACTACAAAATCATTACTGCTGTACATAGCGATGGTGTATTATTCAGACAGGACATTTCTGAGTTTGTGATTTCATGGTGTGGTTGGGAAGGTGGTAGCTGGAAGAATATTTGAATGGATTTGTTAACCAAATGAGATTTGTAGATAGAGTCGTGGATTTTTCGGGAAACTATCCCATCGTGAGCTGTGGCTTCTGAGATGCTCGCTGTAGTAATCATAGCCGCGCTTTGAGCTTGTAACTCCCAGTTTAGAGCTCAGAATTACAAGCAGGCACACACAGCTTCTGTTAAGTGAATATGTGTGTGTACTGCTGAAAATTTGGGCTTTTGAAAGGATGAAAGGGTGATATCAGTGTTGAATTATAGAAACGTTTGTTAGGAAATGAATGTTTTTATTATCTCATGTTTGCTCCAGCTTTCTAATAGACTTTTCCAGCAATTTTTTAAAGGATGAGTTTTAAGAAATGCTTATTCATTTTGATAATCTCTGCTTTTGGGTTCCTAGTTTTAGAATCTCAAATATCACATTTCTCAAACTGTCTGTGGCTGGATTTGTGAGTGCTCAGCCATAGGACTTGAAAGCAATTATCCCTAACTGTGGGCACTCACAATCCATAGATATTTAAACAATTGCATCATTACTCTCTCTTTCCATGAGGTTCTCTGTCTCTTCAGTATGAACGACAGTAATACATGCCGTGGGGTGTGTGTGTTTGTGCTTAATTCCTTAGTGTTTGCTTATTTTCTTTACTGTGAGATGGATCAGACAGAATTTGGATGCTGTGGCAAAGTGCAGGCTTTCTTTGGGGTGAAGAAGGCTGCAGGGTTTTGGGTTGTTGTTTTTTTTAACCACAGTTGAGGTCTGCATGAAAAACATAAGATGGCAGAGTGTAATTTGCAGAAACACTTGTCCAAAAGGTTAATAGAAAGCATAATGTAGAATATATGTGATGCACCAAAAGAACTAAAACATCAGTGTGATATGCTGTTGGTTTTGTTTTTCTGTTGGAAAAGAATAAACAACTATCCTACCTAACTTTTATTTTTGTAGTTTCTGTTCAGTTGGGCTACAGCTTTAAGTTTGTGTTTGGTAGGAACTGCTCTAATGTACAGTATTCGTGTCTCTCTGTTAGCAATACCATTAACTTAGATTTACTCTTCAAACTTTTGCCAATTACCTCTGGATGGCAGTAGATGTAGTTACAAGATGATTCAACTGATTCATAAGCCTGCTGTGAGGATCATTGTGAAGAACACTTTCATCAGGAAAACCCAAAGTGGTGGTAATTTTGGCAAATAGTAGAAAGTGCCCTTAAAATACCCACACTGTCTCCGAGTCATTCCTTTCCACTCACTTTGTTCAGTACACTTTGAAGTAAAAATCTATGTTGTGGGATTTCTTCCTATAAGGGAGAAGTTGTTTGCTCACTGGAGCTAAATTAAGGACAACCATTTGTGGACCAAATTCTGTTTCCCAATACATTTTTTTTACGACTGTAAAAAGTATTTCATGTATTTCAGCATGTATCTTATTTGCTGGGACATGTAAGTGCTTTTGCCGTCCAAATAATGAAGTACAGGCATGAAAATTTGGCTCAGCAAAGACTCTTTCTTATTCACTAGTCCATATAATGTGAAAAAACTGTCTGTAAGGAATAAAAAAATTGCAAAGACCTGAGTCGCCATCTTTTATCGAATATCAGGGTTGACTTCAACAGTGTAACAAAAATACACCTGGTAGTCACAGTTTTTACTATTCAAGAAAGAGTTAAATTACTGATTACAGGTAATGGGTAGTTCCTTCTCATGGTTTCACCAATGTAAGGCTAAGGGACATGCTTAATTCTAAGCAAGTCCTATTGATGTTGATGATACTATGTGTGCTCACATGCTTAAAAACGTTGCTGGTTGGTTTGTAAATGAGCAGGATTAGATTTCCTGTCCAAAGATTTAATGTGATTTTAGCAGAATGCTGTATTTGTGAAAAACTGTGAAGGTGGAACTCAGGAGGCTGTAGCTGTGGTCCCAAAACCTAAGACTGGGTAGTTGGGGATGCATTTACAAGCGGATACTGAGTAGAGCTTGATTTTGGTTCAGAAGCCAGAACCTAGATAGCTGCTGAGATAACAGGGAGATTTGGATGACTGCAGGCATTGTGGAAAGTGATTGGTAGACCATATCTATTTTGATCAGTTGACTGGCTGTGAGTGTGTGGTTTCACTGAACTGATTTGGGGTAAACAAAACAAAGCTAAGCTAATTTGAGGTCTTCCCAACTGCTTGATGCCTATCTTGCTATGCATTAGGGAATCAGGCTGAAAACAGATTGTGATGTGGTTTGCTTTTTTATGAGCTTTACAGTGACCTGATTTCTCTGAGAAAGTTTTCTCGTAGCATGGTCTTAATACTAGAAATACCAGCAATGGTGTGGCTTGGCTTTGTTAGGTGTTTTTTAGGAGAATTAACAGAGTGAGAACTATCAGAC